GTTTACAAAATGAATTAGAGTCATCAAAAACTTCGCTCGTTTATTTAAATATTGCACAGGCAAGGAAAAACGTACGCAGGGTGAATTAACTATCAACATTTATGAGGCTCGTTCAAGAATAGTTATATTAGCAGGAACCATAATTTTTAAAATCGAAATATAATATATATTAAAAATGTTACTTATAGAACCTAAATCAAAATTAATGTTGTATAACAAGGGCGAGCAACCTTTTTAACCCACGGGCCAATTTAAATTTTAAAACTTCATGGCGGGCCGCACGTAATTTATGTATATACTAGCTGATCCGTCAAACGGTTTGCCACAGAAAATATTTTAAAAAAATCATTAGTATAAAAAATGGCTGATAAATGTATAATAAATGAAAGGGTCAGCTAACACAAATTACATTGATAATTTGCCCAACGAAACGCTAAAATACTAACATCCATATTTGATTTATGTTAACTCTGAAAAAAAATCCAATTTTTTTTAAAAACAGTTTCATCTTCTGATTTTAATATTCAATTTCTAATTTTTTTTTGCTAAAATTTTTCCTTTTGCAAGGCATTCAAAAACTATGTACCTACTTCTTATGCACATCGAGAAATATTTGTACAATAGGATAAACCTGCAAATCAGTTTTATCGGAGGTAACCATTTCGTTGCCAATATCTAAGAATTGTTTTTAAAATGTTGCAGCAGATAGAGCGGATAAATTTACGCTTTTCTATATGTTCAGAAAAATCTTAATCGAATTTCAAATAAAAACGTTCACAAAAAGAACGATAATTGTTAATTGATCAATTATCGAGCTAAAATGACTTGTATAAGAAGATAGTGAAAATTGGAGTTGTATGTAGTTTTCTATTCCGCATTAAAAAAATTAAAATAAAGAACAACGTTTACAAAAATGGTTACGGTTGTACAACCCATAAAATAATAAATTGCTTTTTCTTTTTGAATAAAATTGAAGATTTTTCATAAACTCAAAAGTCTGAACTAATATTAAGTCAAAAAGATTTTTTGATTGAGCACGGGAATAATGTAATTGCAACAAAATTACAAAATTGCAACAAGAATAGAATAAATATACAAAGTTGAAAATAGTATATATATATTATATAATTACGTGTGTATATTATAAGTGTAAATAAATAATAATATAAAGTGAAAACACAATAGTTAAACAGAAAAACTAATTTACTTGAAAACTTTAATGAGAAATTTGGCACTGCTTTTTTATATAAGCTGATCAGTATCAACCATTTTTTTTAAATATTGTTCTTTATTTTAATTTTTCTAATGCGGAAAGTGGCAACGTGTATGCAGCTTTGATATGTTTCACTCAATTTTGATCGGTGGATCGGTAGATGGATCGAAATTAACACAGATCAAAAAAAAAAAGTTGTCTGGATTGGGTGTGTGACATATGTTTTCTAATGTACCTTCTGCCGCTGAAGATAAATCTATAGTCAAAATTGAGACGCAAAATATTTAAAAACTGGCACAATCTTCAATCTATACATTTTTCTAGATGAATTAATTATTTTCCATCGACTGTTCTTTTGTGGACCTGTGTAATTGCCCGCACACATACGTGAATCCAAAAAAAATAAATTATCATAATTTTCTTTGCGTTTTTTCTCAAAGAAAAAATTTCTCAGAGCTGACATGAGTTTTATAAAAAAAATTCGATGTTAAATGAACAAATACATTTTTTAAATCTGCATTATTTTGCATGCTGATCACTTTCTGTGATGGTTTTCATAAAGTGTACCTACATCGATGTTAAATGGCAAAGAAAACACCTGACTTGCTAGCTTATTTCCTTTTTCTAAATATCGAAAGTGAAACGCTATGTTCTCGGACATGTCCTCAATTTTTCTTGCAATATTATTAAACTAATATTCAAATTAATATTTATTTTATCGGGAAATACTATTTCTGCGAACAACAGTTTTTACCAGTATTTGACTTACAACAAAATTAGCCTTTACAGCAGTATTTGTTAAAATATCTAGTAAAATAATCTGTAGTTGTAGTTGAAAAACGCCGCAGAAAAAAATCCGGCGGGCCGCATGCGGCCCGCGGGGCGCGTGTTGCTCATCCTTGTTGTATAAAAAGGTTGCACGAAGCTGTTTAACAAGTTCGTGGTCAATTTTTCCACCTTTCTGTTGATGGAAGGCTTACCGAAAAACCGCGTGAAGTTGCTATTATCGTTCTCGAATTGGGAGGAGGACTTCTAAAGACCGATTATTTTGAGAAATCGTGGTGGAAAGGCTTTATAAAAATCGAAGCATTCGTATCACTATTTTTATATTTTAGTACGCGAACTGTTCTGTTAAAAGTTCTATCAAATTTTATGTTAGAAAGTTTTAGCTATGCTCAGACGACTTATTATGCGTCAGAAAAACCTACTAGCATTAATTCAGACAACGGCACAAATTTTGTTGAAGCGTCGTTGACAATTAACACGTTGCCGCACACTTTTAATTTGACGATCGTGCTTAGAAACACACTATATTCTTATAAGTAAAATTATTAACTACTAGCTGACCCGGCAAGCGCTGTTTTGCTAAGTAAGGTGTATTCTAAACAATTTCTAGAGAATCAAAGAAATAAATACTTTAAGTGTATAAGGATGTGTTGTTTTAATGCTATATACAATGAGGTATTATAAAAACAATAAACCCCATTAGTTTGTCTATATTTTCTCTTTCTATAGAAAAGTCTTTTTTGGTCTTTCGACTTATTGATTACGTTGCAAGTTTTTCAGATTCTTTTTGGATTCTGGATTTTGTGTATAATTGTAAATAATACTACTGAACTTATATAAAATTTTCAAATGTCTGCGAGGAGAGATAGAAAATGAAATAAGTATTGTCATGGATTCCCTTTTATTTGTCATGGACCCCTTTTCATTTATTACTATTCTCCTTAATTCATGCTCTATTTTTTTGTTATGGTTTGTACATTCGCGGTCTCTCTGCAACCTTACCCTAACATCGCGATCCTGTAAGAAACTCACTATGCTATAGTTACTAATAATGAAAAGGCGTTTGTTCGTTATTTAATTAACTAACCTATATTTACACATAATAATTGCTTATTCTAAAACATTACTTATTCTAACATGCAACTATATCTACACTTATCTGTAACCCACGGCGCAACCAGTGTCCAATACCTATCCATACATCGGGCCCGATTTGCATTAATCACTTAATCATCACCTTTAGGTATTTTCACTAAGTCTACTTTCTGTTGGGGGACAGCCTCCGAAACGCTGTCCCCCCATAACGTCCTCTAGGCTCACATTGAAAACCTCTTTCTAGACTGCCTCGAGCCTTCGGACACACTCCTCATCAGGGACATCGTTTACACGCATATAGGGAGAGGGGTAGTTATGGGGCCCTCCCCCACACATTCGTAACAGCATTTCCTCTTTGACCTGCTTTTTGAAAAGTTTCAAGTAACATTCGATGAATTAAAGTAAATTTAATGAAAAGTATATATGTAAAGCAGGCGGGGCACAAAGGTCCAATTGAATCTGAGCAAATATAAACTATATCATAAAAAATCAAACCAATTATATCACAACAAATAACACATATCAAACGAACAATTATCTGACTAAGTTCAGTAAAACTGCAGCTCCTTCATCGTTGTAGAAATGAGATTTTTTGCCGTCTTTCAAAAATTTGTATCTAGACCTTTTTACCTTATAGGCGAGGTAACTTGAAACGGACAGGTGGCAAAAGATTTAAAGCCTTATTATAGTTTTAAAGGTATTTTACAAAATAATTACATTTTTAATTAATGCTAAAAAACTACCAACGGAAGAAAATACTTTTATTATGGATTTTCAAAGATTACCTTTTATCTCCCAATAGCAGGGTCATGA